AAAACCTTATTTATAAGTTAGGTTACGTAATCAGACGATTTATGTGGCTGACGTACGTCACGTTTCGGTCTATTATTTTCAAGAGTCTTTATTGTTTTTGGTTAAGACTTTTGTTCAGGGACTTCTTTACTAACACTATCTTTGATAAGGTATTTCCTGTTTCTTTCCAGCACACCACCATTATCAAGTCCCACTAAATAAGTCCTTGGCTTATCCAATCTTCTTATATTTTTACCGGGTGTCCACTCGGATTTATCCATTCTTTGCACTCTCACCCCTTCACCATCACTAAGTTCTGGTAAATTTTTTGCATGTAAATCAAAATTCAACTTTTGTTTGTTTTTTCTAATCTTAAACTTATTAATATAAGAGGTATTTTTTTTTTTTTTTCACCAAAAAATATTAAATTCGGGCAAAAGGCTCTTAGCTTTCCTGTTAAACAACAGAGTAGCTGGCGATAGAATGTCATGGTCAATGGGTGTGTTTCGATATTCCAGGAGACAAAGGTATGGATCTTTCTTATCAAATCTTTTTTCATGATATTTTTGAAAGTCTGAATGCACCTCTCGACCATACCATTCGATTGAGCGTGCGTTGGACTTGATGTCACGTGCTGAATCTTCCAGCAGTTAACAAAATCTTTAAATTCTGCAGAGCTGTAATTGGTGCCATTATCCGATCTGATTACATTTGGAATGCCGTGACGAGCGAAAAAGACTTTAAAAGATCAATTGTGTATCTACTTTCTAACTTTACCAAATGTCCAGTCTCAATAAATTTTTTCTACGAGGAAAAGTGCACTTTTCCGCATGCGTTCTAGGTCATGAAAGTACCACTTTTCTGCAAGTAGAATACTTATAATTTGTAGGTAATGTCTGCTCAGCGACTCTATGTCTACGGGGCAACGGTGGCAAAAGGGGCATTTCCCTCAGCGTTTTGAGGGGAATGCTTATACTTTTAATTTTGTCTTCATCAACTTTTACGCCTTTGCTACTTATTACATGTCCTACAAATTTTATTTCGTTAACATTAAATTTATATTTAGTTTTGTTAAATTTTACACCCTCATTTCTAGCTCTATTCAGCACTGCTAATAAATTTTGATCATGTTCTTCCTGGGTTCTACCAAAAACTAATAATCTAATAATCTAATCTCTAATCTAATCTAATATCTATACAGGGTGTTCCGAAACTATTGTGCCAAAAATTAGGGGAGGATAGTTCTCGCCAAAATAAACGTTTTTTACTTATAAACCCATAGGCGCATGCGCTTCGGTTAGGTGATAATAGTACATTGTAGTCCGCGCTGTGGTAGCCACCTTGCTCACGGAGAAACGTGTTCGAATCAGAAACTGAAAACTGAAAACTAATACAAACCCAAGGAATGCTTGCAGTATTTAAGCAAAATTACGACCACCCGCCCCAATGCATGCGTGAAATATCGACTGCAGGAAATTCTTTCCGAACTGTTAGAAACTGTTCCCCTGTATGCAGGACAAAACATGTGGTAATAACATGACGCAGGTACACCACATTACTCGTAAGCCATAAAGGAAAATCTCAACGAAACATAATCTGGAAAAAGTGTTTGGTAAGGGCGCAGCTATTGCATGGCCTCCAGGTTCACCAGACCTGACCGACTGCGACTTTTTATATGATGTCATATGAAAGTGAATGCCACTCCAGTTGAAACAAAGGAATAGTTAGTGGAAAGGATTGTTGCAGCAGCTGCTGAAATTTGCGAAACGCCAGGAATTTTGCAACGTGTTCAGGAGGCTATGTTATAGCGTTGCCAGTGTTGTCACGCATGCATTGAGGCATAATACTGCAAGCATTCCTGGGATTTCTGTATTATTTATTAACACAGTTTCTGCTTCAAACACGTTTCTTCGTGCGCAAATTAGCTACCACAGCGCGGACTGTAATGTGATATTATTGCCTAACCAAAGCGCATGCGCCTATGGGTTTAAGAGTAAAAAACGTTTATTTTGGCGAGATCTACCATCCCCTAATTTTTGGCACAATAGTTTCAGAACACCCTGTATAGTATGGTCAAGTATCCTATATTTAGCCATTCAAAAATTTGTTTGAATTACCTTTGGAACACTTCTGGTGCTGAAGCTATACCAAATGGCAGCCTAGAGAACATATATCTGCCAAAAGGTGTTGCAAAAGTACACAGTTTTTTACTAGATTTATTCAGAGGTATCTAGTAAAAGCCTTGAATTGCATCGAGCAAGATAAAAACCCAAGCTCCTGACAATTGGGCTAGCATTTCTTCTATTGTGGAAATTTGATAAATATTCCCTCTTAATAACTTGATTTATATTTTTAGGATCTAAGCACAACCTTATTTCGCATTTGGCTTTCTGACAGTAACCAATGGATGAACCATTCTGTAGGCTCAGACACTTTTTTAATTATTTTTTATTTCTCTAGCATGTTTAATTCAGCTCGAACTTCCTCTCTAATAGATAGTGGAATTTTACGAGCATTATTTGCTACTGGTGCAGCATTTTCTTCCAAAATAATGGTATGTTCTTGTTTTAGGCAACTAATACCTGCGAATAGATTCTGATATTGTAACAGAACATCATTTAGACACACATAATTAATTCTTCTGATTATCCCAAACTTTTTACAATGTTCCAATCCTAAAATTGGTGGACTATTTACAGTATCTACAACAAGAAAGTCTAAATTGGCCATTCGTTTATTTGGGACAATGCAATCCAGAGAACATTTGCCCAAATTTCCAATGCTAGTTTCATTGTAATTTATTAATTTAATATTTGACTTAAATAATTTGGCTCCAGGAATTTGTTCAAATATAGCTTTGGGAATTAGGCTAGCTTGGGCCCCTGTATCTAATTTAAATTTACTTGAACTACTTCAGTCCACTCTTCAACTAATCTGCGGGCTCTATTTACTGAACCAATAAAAATTGTTGCTTCTTCATCTGAGTCCTCATTATTGGTAATTTCTTCAGTGCTGATTTTTTTTACTTGCTTTAGCTTGCACATTTTGGCAAAATGATTTATTTTGTTACATTTTCTGCACGTTTGATTGTATGCTGGACATTTATTTACCTTGTCTGTATATCCACATCTTGTACAGGGTGTCCAAATTTGGATGGTTTTAATAGGAAACGTCAATTTCTGAGAGAGATACAAAAAAATGAACCTCACACTCCGAGGCTCAAATTTCATGAAATCCAAGGAACAATGTGTTGGAAAAGGACTTTATATCTGTAAGGAAAATGAGAAAGGCCTCTTTCTAACACATTGCTTCTTTTGATAAAAAAAAACAGAAATATTTTTTTTCCTCGAAAACTGTCAGGGATAAACCTATCGAACTTATATCATTGAAATCAGCAAAAGCAGAGCTTTCCAATGAGCTACTAATATATACGGTGACCTATTGAAAAAAATCAGACTCTGGTCAAAATCTTGAAATCGGGACCAAATAGAGAAAAACCGAGAACGTCACTGAGCTTTGCTTAAAAAAGTGCTTCCAGAAAGTTTTTACGGCAATCAATTATTTCCATAAACAAAAAAGTTATGACGGTTTCACACAGTACTGCTCAAAATCGAGAAATGCCCTCTAGCGGCTAAACGGTTGAAGATATCAAAATGCGGATTGCACCAATCAAGATTTCAGGAAACTTGAGCCTCGGAGTGGGGGGGTTCATTTTTTTGTATGTTGCTCAGAAATTGACTTTTCCTATTAAAACCATCCAAATTTGGACACCCTGTACATTATTTTATTGTTTTTTCCTTTTCCATGGTATCTTGATTCTGTGTGTCGTGCACTGAGCCCAGCTTTTCTGACCAACTTTGTTTATAGCAAGTGACTCAATTGCTATTTCTTTTTCTTGACTCTCGGTAACGAGCACGGCTCGGCACAAGTCGATGCACTTACTCAGAGTTAAATTAGGTTCTGTCAGAAGTTTTTCTCTTAATTTGGAATGCTCGATACCACAAATCAAGCGATCTCTTATCAGTGAATCTTTTAATTTGCCAAAATCACATGAGCTGGATAGTGATTTTAGCTCGGCCACGTAATTCTCAAAATTTTCTCCGGTTTTTTGATTTCTCATAAAGAATTTGTGCCTTTCGTAAGTTACGTCATTAAATTTAACAAGAACATCAACTTTGTCCACTTCATTTGATTTAAATTCCAGTGTGTTGTAAATGTCGAGGCCCTCCTGACCCATGCAGTGCAACAACAGACAACATTTTCGTTTTTCATCAGCATTCTGCAAGTCTGCAGCGGCTAAAAATACTTCAAAAGACTGCCTAAACTTTGGTCAGATGTTAGCTGAATTGGCTTCACCGGCTTTAAAGTTTGGGGGTTGCAAAGACTGCCTAAACTTTGGTCAGATGTTAGCTGAATTGGCTTCACCGGCTTTGAAGTTTGGGGGTTGCAAATCCATTTCCAGAGCTTCAGATCACTTTTCTTTTGAACTGCGCCATGTTATAAAATACACAAGTTACGAGATATTACTATTTAACGGTTTTATTTAAACACCATTAAGATTCCATACAACTTACATTTTTTTGACTTATCAATCATACTACAGTTACTCCACATAACTATTGACTCGTGGTGTGTGTGGTGTGTTTACATCACGGCTTATTACCTATAATACTTTCCCTAATTCTCTCTAATATTAGTCTGCTTTATCCACAAAAATATATCCTTTTTTCTGACAATAAAGCATGTTTGATACTGCCAATAAAAAATGAGGAGAGTCAGGAGAGATGGTTGAAAATATGATTGCTTAAAGGGAGAACTTCTAGAGCCACGTTTATAGAAGAAAGTTTGCGATTATAAAGTTGCTTTCTTCTATTTTAGTAATTATTACGAAAGATGAATTTGTACCGATAAATGTGGGAAAAACGTCTGTTTTCAAAACTATTTTCATTTACCTACCCAAGTACGTTTTGTTTCATTACGAGCATGGTTATACAATAAAGCTAGTGAAATATAATTGTTACCTGAGCCTGGGAAGAATATCCAGTCATCATCTGCATTCCATCTGAGCTCACAGTGTCCACTGATTGAATCTGGTTTTGTTTGGACAGTTGGAAAACCTGAACTGGCATAGGTTTCTTGAACAATGAAACATTTTGAGGGGTATTATACTTCATGGATCCATCTTGTAAGGAACATTGACTTTCTTGGCTTGTATCCGGAGACATTTCAATGCTTGCGTTGGCCTCAGAATCCTGCGTCAACGATTCGGAGACATTTGAAGAGGTCTTTTTCTTGGGCCAATTCGTGCTTAAATCCATGTCCCTGAGTTTGCGTTTTTCAGGCTCTGGAGAAGGGGCGGTGGCAGAAACGATAATGTTTTGGTTTAGGATGCGAATTTTCTCGGGAATCACATGGGGGGCTACGATTTTTCTCGGAGCATGTTCTTCCAATATGAGATGGAGTTTTGATGTATCCCATTCATTTCCTTTTGTCTGCAGCAACACTGATTCTGTAATAGTAGCCAGAAAATTAATGTTTGAAAGGTTGTAACATTATGAACATACCACTCATTCCAGATGTGTTTGCAACTTGATCTATCTGAATGTGTTGACTTTCAGTTTCTTGCTAAAAAAAAATAGAAAAAATAATGAATTATGAAGTAAACATTTCATATTTAAGCAAAATCAAATCTTATTTATTTTTTTAGCTACAAGCGTTATGACGTTTTTACATAACCATTTTTCTAGTATTTGAGTTATGTTATGAGACTAGTGGTGTTATAGACTAGGTTATGAATTCATAACACAACTAGTGGTGTTATGGACTAGGTTATAAATCTATAACACAACTATTTTTGGTCATTTGACAATAATTGTCAAAGTTAAACCTGTAAAGGTAAAATGAAGGTAGACAACTACTGATAAACGGAAATAATTTAAAAAAAAAAACATTCTTATTTTTCGCTTTGTAGATACAACGTTGTACATCACATGTGCGTTTAAACATGATTACAAAACTCGTGTGATTAGAACGACTCGGTCTACGACCTCGTCGTTCTAATCTTTCACACTCGTTATTGTAATCATGTTCATAAACGCACTTGTAATATAAATAACTATCACAAGAGGGTCAATCACACTCAAAATATACAAATATGTATGTATTATCTTACTATCGATTAAACTAACAATGATAGGTTTTTGTTAATTAATGCACTAATAAATACAATGAAAACAGTTTTACAACAGAATGATATGTTGAATAGAATGATACAAAATAATCAAAATGTACAGACACAGTCACAAAACGTTCCAGCCGACCATTGAAATTACCATTTGTTACAGGATTTTTCCAAAACTATTGCCAATTTTAACGCAGACAATTTGTCTCAAAGCCGAAACTTTAGAGAGCACTGCTGCCTTGCAACATTGGCCGAACGAATTCACTCTCCGAACTGCAAGGTCTCATTTACTTGGACCAGGAGAAGTAGTAGGTATTCATAGTTGGGATCATTTTAAGGCCATTTTCTGTCATACATTTATCCATGAAAAAAATGTTACGTCACTATAGAGAACGATGACTATTAGAGTACAAGGCAGTAAAGAAGATATTTCATCAAATTTTCATGATAAAGTAAGATTATGTAAAGCTTTGAATCTTAACTTTGGGGAACAAAAAGAGCAAGTTGCTATAGGGCTTGCTTCCAGGGAACTGGCAAGTATGATTATGGCTAAGTCCCATGTAGATATTGACAATGTTTACCATGATTTGATAACATTTGACCGTCTAAATAATGAGAGAAAACAGGAGATATGCACCTCCAGTTTCAAGTGTAGTATAACATACCCGGGTTCGTTCAGTAAGATTGAACGATGAGAATTACCTTTTAAACAAGAAATCTTCTGAAAAATGGAATAAAAAACAAATAGGATCTACGTTGTGGAAACTTACTCAATTTTACTTACTGGACATGCGCCTGACATAGCAAATATTTAGAAAATTTAAGGGACGTTGTGATATGTAAAAGAAACGAAAAATTTGTGAAACGTCTACTTTATTATTAAAGTAAAACGTACCGTTTTCATCCTGGAACTAACGAGGGGAAAGAGCACGGCAGAGAAACCCTCGATCTAACATTCCTCAAAATCGAAACATACTGTGTCATTTTAATAATCACTATGAGTCATTAATTCAATAATTTAAGTCAATAAAAGTTTAAATTAGGTACCGCCCCTGTTCTTGTGCTAAAATTTCAATTACACACACTACATTCAATCAACACTACCTATATATTCAATACTGAAGAGTTTTTGGTAAGTAAGACCATCTGTGGCAGGTACTGAGGTCCCTGGTTACGTAAACTCACAGCTATAGTTGTTTTTGAGCCAATATCTCTAGATCGATTATTTCATATTTCAATTTGTTAGGATATTCTCTCGTCAGGGTAGGAAAATGTTAGTAAATTCAACAAGGCCCTAATGCACGATCTAAATAAACAAAATCAAAATCTCAGCACAAAAAGACAGCACATAAATTCTTAGGTTTTAATTTACTTCTTTATCGGTGTTCTTTACAACATGAAACGATTTTTGGTAAAAACATGAACAATGCACATGTTATAAACAAACAAAAAAACATAAAAGTATAAATTGAACTCTCACAAATAAAATAATAATTATCTAACTGACCTGGTGATCGCTCCTTGATACACACACTAATAACAAATTGGATTGAACAATCAGTTTATTGCAAAATAAAAATAAAAATTGAATAATGAATAATTACAGACACGCGATACGCGTCTAATGGACCAGCTCCAGCTTGTTGTCTAATCTCTCTAATGCCTAATCGCCTCTTCTCTAGCTCCCGTTCGGTTTGGTACCCTTTCAGTACGCTTCACGGCGCATACAAGGTTGCAACATTTATTTTTCTTCAGTAAACGTTTTTTTAAAAAGTTAAGATTTGAAGAAATAATATTTTAAATAGGTGGTTTTCCTCACAAGAGTACCAACAACCAGACCACTACCACGACCAGTTGCAACTGTAACACAACCAAGGATGCAAATGAGCAATAGCATAGCCGGCAATAGAAATCGAGACGACCAAACGGGAAAAGGGTTCTTGTTCTAATTGTGGATCCCTCAAGCATAAATAAGGTAGCACACTGCCCAGGTACAACTGTGAGTAATAATAGTTATTTATGATATAAGTGTTAAAAGTACATTTTCAAGGCACGCATGTGAAAGTTTGCAGAATGAGCGAAGCGAATTCTGCAATTCACTTAAGTGCCTTAAAAATATTTTTAAGACAAAGAAAAAGAGGGTTGCATCGACCCCTTGAAAAATATAGATGAGGCGGCCAATCGGGCTACCTCAGTTGTTCACATTTCACCATTAATATCATTGTAAATAACTAAAAATAAAAACTTTTTTTGACGTTCGCTCTCAAAATTTGATGATTCATTTTTAACACTAGTAATAAAGACTTTATGGCACTAGTGCGATAAAGTAACATTTTTAATGCTACGGGGGGGTGTTAAAAATTGCATTTTTAACACGTTTGTAGAAAAAAGTCATTTCACAGCTAATTTAGTAGATTCTGTTGCACCGTCTTACCAAATTTGTGGTGAACTTTCATTTGATAATAAGGTAGAGCCTATAAAAATATCACCAATTATAGATAACGGTAGTCCTGTGTCTTTTATTTCAGATATACTACTACCTAGCCATTTAGTTGATAAAAATATAGTTACTGCAACTTTTCACTGTGATTTAAGAATTGTTGGGAAATTTAAGTCTCTGCTATTGTATAATGGATGGAAGTATGATGTAATTTTTTTGGTAGTGCCAGAATAGTATATTAGGCAACAAGTTTAGTAAAGTGAGGTTTTACCAATTGAGTGTGGCCACTTTTGTGTACGAGGGAGCGAAGCGAGCAAGTGCTCTAAGGCCTCACGAGATTTGATTTTGAGATGAGATTTGATAGTTTGTTAGGTCGTGATTTTATTGCAAACAATAAGTAAAATATTACTTTTGGTGAAACAATACAAATCAAAAAAGAAGAGGTATCTGAATTTATGAATATTTGTTATGTAAAATTTAAATCCTAATTTAGATTATAAAAAGAAACAAGAGTTTCTAACCATTTTTGATCAAAAATATGTTAAACCGGTTAAGCTGAGTGAGCCTGATGTAAAATATACATTCAAAAATTCTGTTATTCCTAACCATAGTCCTTTCTTTTTCCGACCTAGCCGCCTTTCCCAATTTGAAAAAATTGAAATAACTAAAATTATTGACGAACTACTCGCAGAAAATATAATCCAGAAAAGTAACTCCGAGTCAAGCAGCCTAGTCGTTCTAGTACCTAAGAACAATTCAGAATCCCTAGGTAATGATCCAGAAATTTAACCCGATAATTACAAAGTCTTTACTGTAAAAATTAAATTTTATCAAATAATCAAAACTTAATTCCGGTATTCTTAAATCAGTATCGATAAATTAAAATGAAACAAATTAACGCTAACGAATTGCGACACCCAGCGTGATCTCATCCAAACACCCAGAGATAAATACTATATAAACTGTCGAGACAGTGTACAGACACCTACTTTACATAAGACTTTTTATGATAGATGGCGCCCTATTCGCATTATTGTCGGTCTGTTCAAATTCGTTTATTCTAGACTTTGGGGCATTAATGTTTGCTTAAATTAATTGATAATTTGTTAATTAGATCAAAAGATAGTTTCTTTATCGATGGTTAAGGATATCCTTAACATATTTATTCAAAGTTCTGATTGATGTATAATTGAACCTGTCATTAATCTAATCAACAAAGATAAAAATAGATCTTCCAATCTATAAAGTTTGAAGTTCTTCTTGAAACACACAGAACAACTTTGAAATCACTGAAGAACACTTGACAACACAAAGAAAGATGAAATGCAAGACTGGCGAACAAAAAACATTATGAAATTAGTTATGATCAAAGTCCTTATTCTTGAAACAGGGGAGCAGCGTTCCCAGGAGAACGAGTGTTCCGTCTTTGTTACTTATATTATCAGTTGCATATCGTTGAGAAAGACAGAACACTCGTTCTCCTGGGAACGCTGCTCCCCTGTTTCAAGAATAGGGACACAAATGAATATTTTGGCATATTGTCATACGTTGACATGTCAGTTATCGACATCGGACGTGTTCTTGATATGCTGGTATTTTACATTTTTGACAATTCTGTGGTTGTCAGCGACATCTAGAAAAACGGAAAAGAGTTATTATGTGGTTTATAACTGGCAATGAGAGATCGCAGGGCCTGCAAACACCCGATCAATGAACTTTTTTTAGCGAGGCCAAGTAATTAATTATAAATGATTTATGGCATTCTTGACCCAATAATGTCTTCGACCCCGATAAATCAGTATATTGCGACATAATTATTCGATTTAAACTAATAAAATGACAAAAATTTCAAGGAAATTGCATCATCTTAATTGTCATGGACACAGAATTTCAGAGGGGAAACAAAAAATATAAATACCGCGCGGTTTTAGAAGAGGAAGTTAGTTGCTAGTTGAGTTGCCAGTTATCAGTTGTCCAGTCCAGTTTGAGTTAAAGTCTGTCCGG